ACTTTCAGCAGGGAAAGTTAAACTTTCACAACACGTTGCATAAACACAGCCAAGGAGAGGGAACAATGAGATGTTAGGGAGGGGTAAAGAGCTCTGAACTGCTAAAGTTAAGCCTGGAGGGATCAGATCACCATTGACAAAAGCCTGGGTGGGGACACAGCATTATTTATACATTTTATATTATATTTTCAGTGGCCTACTGAGAGTAGCAAGAAGTCAAATTTGCATATTAAATATCTACAAGATGTAGCTCTTGATATATCGATACGAGGCTTTTCTGGTGCATGTGAGGGGTTTTGGTGTTCAATGCCTAAGGAAGACACACAAGTTATTCAAAGTTGCAATTGAGAAGAGGAAAAACTGAGTACTGTGTGCCCCGCAGGATGTAGACTCGGCTTATCTGGTGAAAGCTGATTTGGAGGACAAAGTCGGTGCCCTGACTGATGAGATCAACTTCCTGAGAACCATCTACGAGGTGGTGACACACACACACACACACACACACACACACACACACACACACACACACACACACACACATACTTCAAACATTATAAACAATATAAACATATTATTTTCCCCCACTCCACAACAAATCCTTTAAATATAATGGTATTCAGAAGAGAACATGAAAAATGTAAGTATAACACAAACATAAATTATGGTGGCATTCATTTTAAACAACATTTACAATAAACGCCAAGTTTAAACAAATGTATTTAAAGCGAAGTAAATGTAGGAAATGCACTTTACAAATAAATGTGGGCTCACATGCCTTTATGCATGTTTTGTGTGCTTGACATTTATTGCATTATACAAGTTGCAACTTCTTTCAGATGATAAAAACATGACTTATATTTCAGAAAATACGGTTCATACTAAGCAATACGATACTATTTTAATGTTTTGTCTTTAAATCTTTAACACATTGCCATATAACTGGTTGGACCAAAAGAAATATCTAGACCAACGTGGTGTGCAAGAAATTAGCAGTTTTTACATACACATCTTAATTTCCACACAGCTGAAAACTCTCTTAAACACAAACTTACCTTGTCTCTCTGGATCAGGAATTGCGTGAGCTGCAGGCCAGCATTAAAGACACGTCCGTCATCGTGCAGATGGACAACTCACGAAACCTCAACATGGATCAAATTGTGGCCGAAGTCAAGGCTCAATATGAGGAGATCGCAGTCAGGAGCCGCGAAGAGGCTGAATCCTGGTACAAGTCCAAGGTAGACACAAAATGCAAACTTTGTCCCTTGATAAATTAGTTTATCAAGATTTATCAAACCTAGAGATTTTTCTCTTCAAGTCATCACAAAATACCCTTTTCAACTTTTATTTCTGATTGAAAATGGAAGCTCAGTGTCATAAAATGTAGGGCGGGATTGCATCCATTGGGAATTGATTGGATAAAGAAAACTGTTTCAGAGAAAGAGAAAGTCATTACATTTTGATGAAAGATTTTTTCCCTTTGGAATAAGGAATCGTTAACAATGAGACCAGGAAGATGGATTAAGAAAGTAAGCTTTTCATGTTGACTTCAGGTGTTTTTCTTCACAAAGATTCATAAACATATAGGAATAAATTTAGTTTAGATAAAACACCTTTCATTATGGACATCGAATGACTACAGTAATTTGTGTCTGATGTACTGTACTGATCTTTTTGTCTTTTTCCATCTCGTTTTGGTCAGTTTGATCAGATGTCCTCTCAGGCCAGTCAGTACAACGATGAACTGCGAAACACTAAAGGAGAGATCGCAGATGTCAATCGCATGATCAGCCGTCTGCAGAGCGAGATCGAGGTTATTAAATCACAGGTGAGAAATTAGCTAAATCAGGGCTGCCCAAACTCGGTCCTGGAGGGCCAGTGTCCTGCAGAGTTTAGCTCCAACTTGCCTCAACACACCTGCCTTTAAGTTTCTAGTATGCCTAGTAAGAGCTTGATTGGCTGGTTCAGGTGTGTTTAATTGGGGTTGGAGCTAAACTCTTCAGGACACCGGCCCTCCAGGACCGAGTCTGGGCAGCCCTGTGCTAAATTAACCTTTGCTTTAACCTCAACCTATTGGTGGTTGCTAACTCTCAAGGCTACAATCGTTTTAGAGAGCAAACCTGGAGAACCAGATAGCGGAGGCTGAGGATCGTGGTGAGATGACTGTGAAGGAGGCCAAAGGTCGTATTAAGGACTTGGAGGAGGCGCTTCAGAGAGCCAAGCAGGACATGGCCCGCCAACTCCGAGAGTACCAGGAGCTCATGAACGTCAAGTTGGCGCTGGACATCGAGATCGCCACCTACAGGAAGCTGCTGGAAGGCGAGGAGGACAGGTAACACATTGAGTCCTGTGGAACTGAAATGTTTACATTTACAAATATTGACGGTCTAATTTTTCTTTTTACCTAACACAGAATTGGACAGCAGCCCATTGTGAACATCCAGGCTGTTTCTAACTACAGTAAGTGTAAACGGACTAATGGGACATTATTCATTACAACAATGGCCACAGTAAACACACACTTACAGTGAGCATAAAATCCAAAATTACACCATTTACTTTCTTATTATAAGTTTCTGGTTTTGTGTGTAATTTGAAAAAGCAGTATTACCATTGTTACCATTGGGATATGTGGAGATGCTCATGACCTTTTGACACGTCTTTGTCAAAAGGCTTCTCAAAAGTGTTTGCTGCTGGTCCATTCCTTTATTAAAAACCCATTTCACACCATCCAACCAATTGTTCATGAAAAAAATCAAGTCAGTCTCAGTCTGTGTCTGAAAGAGGATTTTCAACATCATATTACAAAAGTAAAATGGGTCACAAATCACATTTCATGTTGAGTTTAACCTGTTCAACACCAGCATTTTAAAACGCATACAATATGACCTTCATACACAATTTGAATGCTGAATATTATTTTCTTCACAGGTTCCAAAGGGGTGAATGGTTTTCAGCAGAACAGCTCTCCATCACCCAAAATCCTGATCAAGACTACTGAGAGCAGAAATAACACCAGATTCAGCACTTACTAAAGTGTCAACCATCATCAAAAAAATGCTATACTATACATATGACAGTTAACCTTAAAATTGGAAGTAGTTTTCTTTTGTCTTTCTGTGAATCAATGGAAAGGATCTGAAATTAATTTTCATGAAAGAACAAAGGCGTTGTGCCTGATTCAAATACTATACATGTATTCAATATAAATACAGTGAAATTGTGGAATGATTTATTCTACAGAATTCAATATTTAAAGGGATCATTTTGCATCACATGTATCATTTACTCTTGCAATACAATCTGATCATCTCTAAGGCTTTTAAAAATGTATTTCAGTTTATTTATTATTTTGGACACAATGTGTATCAACATGAGTATGTAATGTAGATATACCTGCAACCTGATACACCATCTGAACAAACAGATCTGATTTCACCACTTTCAAAATGACAGTGCAGACAGTCCTAAAGATTGAAGATGAAAAACAAATCATAATTGTGTGCAGTGTGAACAAAAACCTAGATTAAGATTAGTCAATGTCTGTAGGAACACAAACCATACCAAAAAATAAATAAATAAATAAACACCATCAAGAAAGAAAGGAGATGGTCCGGAAAAATAACACCAAAAGGGAACATATTCTCAACAGTGCAATTTGAGTATTTCTTCCTGTAAAACCTGTTCAAATGTAACAAATAATTAATCTGGTTACAGGCAAATGCACACAGTGGCTAGTCAGTATGCACTCTGTGACAGTAAAACATGATATGATGATATTCTTCATATGCCCTCAATGCTCTCTGGTCTCATTGAGGCTTCATAAACTCACACAAACATCAACAACAGCCTTGGGAATACATATGTGTTTGAGTAATATTTCAACATAAGTATAACTAGCTGTATTTTGACAGTGGTTTCAACTCTACTGTAATCCCAACAATGAGAATTAGAGTAATTTTTGAGGAAGAGAGAAGCCGTTTGCTATAAAGGGGTTTTATTTAGCATATTATAGCCAATGAGGGTTTAACATTACCTTGAATCGGACAAACACCAAATGTCCTCAAAATTACATCCTGAAGAGTTTTTGGTGATAAAAAGCATCATGGTGAAGACACAATGACCACTATGAAGGCCAGATTACACCTAGGCCTAGTTTCATTCCCTAAATTGCTCCAAATTAATGAATATTTGCTTTGTTGATCAAGTTTGACTATGATAATTATTACCACGAAGCTTCAGTTTCGCAGAGGCAGGTCCTCATCCAAAACTTCTCCATTTCATGTACTTCTGTTACTTTCACTAGATTTGATCAACTTAAAGTGTCCAATTTCATGAAATATTGTATATTATAAACATAATTACGAAGAAAGCAAACAGCCACTTGACCGTTAAGTTGTTGGTCTGTTAAAAGCGTTTGAATTCCGAAAGCGCGGGAAGACTTCTGTGGCGATCAGTCGGGAAACGCGCGCCGATTTCTGATTTTTAGATTAATTATAACGATGGATTAATTATAAATAATTAACATGGATTAATTATAAATAATTACAATTATTATAAATAATTCGTTTTGGCGTTACAATCCTCGTATGGTGTCATTATATGGTTAAGCACAAATATGTTTTTTATCCAGTAAAATAAGCAGTTTAAATATAGGCTATAAAGCAGCTGAAATATGCAACGGAGTAAAAACAAATATAGACAAAAAAAATCATCATAGTGGAGTAGGCCTATAACTTAATGAATTAACCCAAACTTGTTAAAATGCGTTTTATACGAAAACAATAATTTAGAATTATAAAGAAAAGCCCGAGGACATATTCGTAGGAATAATAATACTAACAAAAGGCTACAAAAATGTGTCTTGCACACATTCATCAGATATACTGCTCCTATCGAACTCATGGCAAAAGCAAACATCACTAGTGCCCCCTTGTGGTTGGTAAACAGAACAGTCTATCAGATTAGGATTATGCCAGATAATAATAATTAGGATTATTAGAGTCTAATGCCAATCCATAGTCAGCATATGCACAAGTGACTGTGGGCTGATCTTAACAGATTAATCTTCTGCCCGACTGTGTTGCTCTTTATCATCTTCTTCTGAAGAGCAGAAGACTTCTGTCCCATGTTGTATTACCGAAACTCTGCATCAGCTCCATGCTGCACTGTTTTTCCAAATGCTCTCTAGCATGCGCTGCCATGTCTCCTCGAATCTCAAGGGTCTTGAAGTGGTCAAAGTCACTGCGCCCCAGTTTGCGTAACCGGTGTGCAGCAGAGCGGTAACACTTCCACGGCTGGGCCTCCAGCAGCAGATACTCACAGAGAGACGCCAGTCTGGAGAGAAGAGACAGAAACGCTGCGTCTCCGTGATTCAGATGCACCCACATAGTCACCGCAAAACAGGTGCACAGGTGGAAACGGGGGCAGCCAAAACTTCCCAAATAGGACTCTAGCACTGCCTGGCTCTTTGCATCATCTGTGATATCCAGGGGGATAAACTGGATATTCTGGGGAAAGGGGTTGGAGTTTTGTGCCCGATGAATTAAATCTTGGTCTAGGTCAAATCCAAGCAAATACAGTTTTATTTTAGGAAAGACACATCCAGAGGCCTCCTCTTGCAATAAATGCTTGTACAGAGCAACAGATAAATCCTGACAAACAGAGGGAATGATACAAAACACGTTTTGGTCATTAAAACGACATATGAATACGCTGTCCAAACTGAAACCAATCAGGTAATAACGTAAAATGAATGTATATGACAAAATCATAGTCTAAAAAGAGCAATTTAGCAACTTCTAGACAATAAAATAATTTACTGCTGAGCATAACTAGAGAGAGAGAGAGAAAAAAAAAAGATTAACCACATTAATTCCAATGACATTATAATGTTGAAAAAAACAGCATATGATGGTTATGTATGTTTTGAAGCTGGGATGCTGGTTTAAGATGGTCCTTTGCTGATTTATGCTGGTCGGACCAGTTTAAGACCAGCACATGACCAGCTAAGGACCAGCATAAACCAGCAAAGGACCAGCTTAAACCAGCAAAGGACCATCTTAAACCAGCTCAAACCAGCAAAGGACCAGCTCAAACCAGCAAAGGACCAGCTTAAACCAGCAAAGGACCAGCATAAACCAGCATCCCAGCTTCAAAACATACCTAACCAGCATATGCTGTTTTTTTTCAAAGACAATATTAAATTCTCTTACTTTTTTCCATGTCCGGATCTTGACATTGTTTGACTTATGACATAATTTATACTGGTTTTACATCTAATACTTAAAATAGATGCATATGAACGGTTAAGGATTCAGTAATATCCTTCTAACAAGTTATTAGAGAATTTCAAAATATGAAGGATAAGGCAAGTCACCTTTATTGTGTTTATATATAACCACAGGATACTAATACTAACAAAAAGCATTTAACAAGCTTAATATCTAATAATAAAAAGTATAATATGGTGATTTGAATACTAAATGAGATGAATCTGAATTACATCCCACATCCAGCATTAAAACGCGTTCGCCGCTGACAGAACGGAGGCCGATGTTTTCAAGCAATGTTTCTGGTATCAAACTCAGGCGGTTCTCTGGCGGGTTGAAGGTGTAATAATCGATGAAGTTTCCATAAGCGGCAGCTCCTGGATCTTCATTTTCCTCTGGATTCACACGGGTAACGTGAGTCTCCATGTTTGTCCAGCAACAAAATAATTCCAGAAGAAACTAGTTCCTCGCATTAGGATCGATTGTACACATTTATAAAGTTAAAAACAATAAAGCACGCAATAAACCCAGAATTGTTTTGCTCACTGCTATAACATATTCATTTTCAGAATATGTATTTTAGGAACCCACATGAAAACTACGAGTTTTACTACATTTGGCACTTCTGCTACGCCATACGTTACGAAAAGTAACTGCGCATGCGCACAAGCCATTTGCCCGACTGAGAACGGAGCTGCATTTCCTCATACTTTGAATTGGAGATTTAATAGGCGAGACTCCACATTTGCCATATTTGATGTAAACGCTGTAACATTAAACGACTTCAAACGGTATTTATGTAGAAGAAAGCTTTAATCAACCTTGTTTTTGGACCTTTTTGCTGGAAAACAACCGAATTGCAGTTGAGATTATAGAGCTGAGATGCAAACTCATGCCGATGTGTTGTAAAACTGAAGAAAAATAAAATTAGTATTCACGAACAAACGGTGCAATCGTTATTGAATATGGTGCCATGTTTTTGGCCATGTACCATGGTAATAACATAGCATTTTGAACCTATAGCCACGAACCTACACAATACAGTTACTAGATTACCATAGCAGGCATTATTTGTTTGATATTATTCATGATATTTCAGATGGTCATCTTTTTTATATATATATATATATTTTTTCTTTATGAGTTTTAGGACAATATTACAAAGAAGAGAACAAAGCAGAACAAAAGACAAGATCAACTTAGTAATGCAATAGATTAAATAATAATGATAATAATAATAATAAATAAAAATAAATAAGTAAATAAAAGTGTGGTTTAGCAAAACAATGAAAGTGCACAATCAATATGATACAATAAAGTTAACTGAAAAAAAATAAAAATGCCAGAACTAAGAATCAGTCTACGTCCGACAATAAAACATGTTCTGTGACATATTGCTTAAAAGGGCCCCAAGCTTTATTAAACTGGTTAGATGAGCTTCTTATAGAATGTTTGATTTTTCCCAACTTTAGGAACAAGAGGATATCACTAATCCATTGTGTTGGAGTTAGAGGCCTCAGATGGTCATCTTTGACATATGTGACCCTGGAGCACAAAAGCAGTCTTAAGTCGCTGGGGTATATTTGTAGCAATAGCCAACAATACATTGTATGGGTCAAAATTATAGATTTTTCTTTTATGCCAAAAATCATTAGGATATTAAGTAAAGATCATGTTCCATGAAGATATTTTGTAAATTTCCTACCGTAAATATATCAAAACTTAATTTTTGATTAGTAATATGCATTGCTAAGAACTTAATTTGGACAACTTTAAAGATGATTTTCTCAATATTTTGATTTTTTTTGCACCCTCAGATTCCAGATGTTCAAATAGTTGCATGTCAGCCAAATATTGTCCTATCCTAACAAACCTTATATCAATGGAAAGCTTATTTATTCAGCTTTGAGATGATGTATAAATCTCAATTTTGAAAAATTGACACTTAAGACTAGTTTTGTGGTCCAGGGTCTCATATTGTGTATCCCTGCTAAGTTTTTTGGTTACTAGAATGCTCTGGAAACGTTAGTTTTCGGTTCCCAAAACAGTTTTTTTTTGGTTGGCCAGGAAACTTTACAGATGCAAAACGTTCTTTTTAGGTTCACAGAACATTCGTATTTAGTTCCCAAAAAGAACCAAATGGGAGCCATATGGGATTGTTCAGCGTTTGCTAGGATGCTCCTAATTAACTGCCATTAAATCGTACAAGAAGTTGATGCTCCTAATTCAACTCACCAGTTCCTTGCATGTTTTCACAGATCTGTCATGCTCAGCGGGAAGCGCATCGCTGATGTGGGTTATAAGCTCCTCGGGCTCCATGATGCTGTTGACGGTGTACGGTGGATACCTGTGCATCCTGCGGGCTCAACGGTACATGCAGAGACAGAAACAGCTGGAGGCGCAGAATGAGAGCGCGGCCTCAGAGACCATTAAAGACTGAAGACACAGGCTGTAAATAACCACTTAACCGTACACTGATCATGTCACACGTGGCCCAGCAGAAACCCACCTGTGTTCACGACCCTCAAAGGCTTTATTTGCCTTTTTGTGGAGTTAAATGAGATCTTACGTGTTGTAATATATTAAATGTTCCTTATAAAGATCCACTATCATGAGTGTTTGTGCACGTCCTGTAGATCTGCAGGGTTAAAAACACCTGTTAACAAATGATTTTACCATGTTTTTCCAGGTGTGAAAATGGTTTTAAAGATTACACATGACATTTTAGAGCTGAATATAAATTTAAATTATTATATTCTATTGTTGTTATTATTAACTACAACTAAAACTATTAAAATGTTTTTTTGTTAATTAAAATAAAGCTGAAATAAAACAAATATTAGATGAAAAACTAACTGAAAACAAGTTTAGGTTGAAGTACTAAAATAGTACTACATCTTAAATATAAACTAAAACTAAATGGGAATATAAAACAAAACGACTTAACTAAAAAGCAAATTCAAAATATTAATAAACACTATAAAAGTGTAAAAATATGATTAAATTAACAGTTTTATTCAACATACCAGTAGGTCTCAACTGGTTTTGCTCCAGGACCTAGATATTATATAAACATTAATTTAATTATTATTTGCATTTCGCATTTTCAATGCTCTTTATGATCAGAAAACACCCATTTTTCTGCAGTATAGAAATTTATATTTGAAAGATTTCAAAATTGACTACAATACTGGAAACCACACCTTTAAACCCCAGACATTTCTAGGATGACCGTGGGAACCCTAAACTTATTATTTAATTTGTCATATTTTATTTGTTCACATATTTATTTCATTTAATCTACCCCGATTTTCAGTGGAAGGTAAAAAAACTAAAAAAAAAACTCACCTATTAATCAAAAAGCGTCTCATTACAGGACAAAGGCCCAGCTTTCATTTTAATAACCTTATTTGGTTTCCAAAAATAAAAAAGTAAAATGAAAACAGCACAGGAAACAAATTACAAACACATCAGTAACCAAAACAAAACAACGAAAACAAAAAGTAAAGCAACCGCAAATGGAAACTCAAGTACATCTGACCGTTAAAATCTGAAGAGGATCTTCTTCCATGACTTCAGTAAAACGAAGTGTGGAAAAGAAACGTCTTCTCCGCTCCCGAAACGAGGAAACGAGGGAATGCAAATATCTCTAATTTCATCGTTTTTCTCTTTCACAAGCTTCTCATAGTGACCATATTGTCATTACTGTCCCATCACCACCGGAATGACGTCCCAAACTCCGTCATCGAGTCTCAAAAGTCCCACAACAGGGTGATTTCGTTGGTGTTTTTGAGTTTTTGTTGTTGGAGTGAGGTACAGGGATGAGGAATAGTCCCGTTGCGATATTTCTAGGACACAAGTTCTTTGTGCGCAAGGCCAAACGGAGGGAGCGTCACCAGTTGTTGTGGTTCTGGCTCCAGGTTTTGGAGCCAAAATGGCCGTTGGAGCCGTTTTCTCCTCGGGATGAAGCCGTCTTGAGTCGCTCTTTGGGTGTCGTTTCGGTTTCTTCCTCCGAGCTGCTTTCAATGTCGCTGCGGTCGTCTTTGGACACCTGGGTTGGACACATTTGGGTTATTAGCTGTAGTACTTTTAATGGTTTGGATGTAGTGAGTATGTTTAAAAAGTGTTTCATTATTTTATCGACTTCAACTTGTTAAACTGTTTTATAAGCAGACCAATCCAGTGGTCGTTTTTAATTAAAGTACTGGTTTGGTTCAATACTGTGGCTGGGAAATGTTGGCAGCCTTCCTCAAGAGGGCGCTTGGGTGCTTTAAATGCAAAATCCTCCACTCAAAGATGTAGATGAGTTTGTTTCTTCATCAGATTTGGAGAAATGTAGCATTGAATCAGTTGCTCTGCAGTGAATGGGTGCCGTCAGAGTGAGAGTCCAAACAGCTGATAAAAACATCACAATAATCCACAGCACTCCAGTCCATCAGTTAACATCTGGAGAAGACAAAAGCTGCGTGTTTGTAAGAAACAAATCCATCAAGATGGAAACTTCAAAACTGTTGCTTCGATATCAACGATAACACTTTCTCCAGTGGAAGAGCCGTTTTGGCGTGTAAACTGTGCTTGATCTGAGCAGATTTCTCTCCTGATTCAGACAAGACCACTTTTTCACTGGAGGAAGTGTTATTATTGGCCAGAAGTGACAGTTTGAAGTTAAAAATATCTTAATGATGGATTTGTTTCTTACAAACACACAGCTTTTGGCTTCTCAAGACATTAACTGATGGACTGGAGTGGTGTGGATTACTTGTGGATTATTGTGATGTTTTTATCAGCTGTTTGGACTCTCATTCTGACGGCACCCATTCACTACAGAGCGTCCATTGGTGCGCAAGTGACGCAATGCTACATTTCTCCAAATCTGATGAAGAAACAAATTCACCTATGTCTTGGATGACCTGAGGGTGAGGAAATGTTCAGCTAAATTGTGTTTTTGGGTGAACTATTCCTTTGAAACGCATCCAGTTGAATTCAATTTCAGGTTAAACACATAGTCTGGGATACAAAACTACTACAAAACGAACCAGGAAAACAAGTAAAGAAAGCAGACTTACAGCCGAAGCGACTGAGAGAGTGAAAGACCCTAAAGCGAGTGAGTTTAGCAGAAGTAGCAAAAGATTTCTATCAGGACAGAAGCTGAAAGACGGGAACAGCCTTCCAGCAGCTAGAGAGGGGAAAGACAAACCAGTTCTGCGGGAGAGAAAGATAAAAGAGAGGAAATGCGTGTAACTACACAACGTTAACGAGATCCTCCTGAACATGTGGCTCAGAGCGGCGGGTTTGTGCAGACCTTTCCTCTCATGATGGCTTTGAAGGCGATGCGGGCGATGAGGTAGGACCAGAGCATGTGCAGCACCTGCAGCACCAGCAGCAGAAAGTTGAAGAGCCACCAGGACGGGTACGGCCCGATGATCTCCCAGCTCTCGAAGAGCGTCGTGTTCAGAATCCTGCAACATCCAAAACACTTCATCTCATCTAAAATGTGGGGAAAATTCCATTATTGTGTGGATTATGGACTCGTATTTTAGCGGGAAGCAACGGTTTGAAGTGAAAAACATCTTAATGATGGATTTGTTTCTTACAAACACGCAGCTTTTGTCTTCTCCAGATGTTAACTGATGGACTGGAGTGGTGTGGATTATTGTGATGTTTTTATCAGCTGTTTGGACTTATTCTGACGGCACCCATTCACTGCAGAGCATCCATTGCTGAGCAACTGATGTAATGCTACATTTCTCAATCTATTCCCATGAAAAAAAAAAAAACTCATCTACTATTTTGTATACTACTAACATTTATTATTTTTAATGAAAAGTATGTAATATTGACGATGTGTATCATAAATATTTGTAGATTTTTTTCATATTTAAAAAAAAAATAGCTTAAAAGTTGTGAATTTAACTTGAAATATCACAAAAACTTTTGTGAATAAAGCACTGTTTCTATCCCACGTATTCAAGGAAACAAAAGTGTCACTTCCTGGGAAAGGGGTGCAAAAAGTATCAATAATAAAAATATTGGATATATTATTATCAGATTAAAAAAAAAAAAAAACACCTTAATGGAGTGCGTATGTTTTTTTAAGCACATTTAAAGATTTTATGCTAATCTTGGTGTTTCCATCCAGTATTTTTTTCTGTGATAACCCAAAATTCATACACACACACACACACACACACACACACACACACACACACACACACACACACACACACACACACACACACACACACACACACACACACACACACACACACACACACACACACACACACACACACACACACACACACACACACACACACACACACACACACACACACACACACACAAATAAAATAAACAGAAACATAGTTACTTAGAATCTTCCAAAATAATTTAACAAATTTGATAACATATTATTACAAACATTTAAATCATCATTATTATTTACATTAACATTAATTTGATGTTTTGATAATAAGTAATGGAAAAATAAAATGAATGTTTGAATTATTAACATACTCTAAAAGTGTGGCTGTAGACAAATGGTTTTCATGATCGTCGATATTAAATCTTTATTATAGTAAACATTATTTTTTATACCGCCTAATGGAAAAAAATAAATAAACTATATACTGCTATTGATGTGTTGATGATTTTATATAGTTTTTTAACACTTAAAACCGCATCCCTAAATCCTCATTTAAATAAAATAAAATAAATGAAGGACATTTTAGGATCTTTTTTAGTGCAACGTGAAATCAGTTTCATGACAACTAACCACATTTCCTCTCTAAATCCTCATGATGATAAATATATAAAAAATACATATATTTGCATTCTCCATTGTCCTTTTAATTAAAGTTAAACAGGCATTTATTTAATTATAATCATACAGCAATGCAATTATTTATATATTTACTAATCATTAGTTAATTTGAGATTCTTTTTATTTAAATTTAAATTAAATTTACAAATACTACCATCATATATAAATACTTTGAAATATTAAAATAATGAACTATTGAAATAATACTTCATCATTTTCCCCCATTACATTGGCTTGAAAATGTCACAGTGCAAAAAAATCGTAACGATCCTAAAAATACACTTAAGTTTCTTTTCAAAATGCTCAACACTTTCAACACTTTTAATACTTATTTTAGTATTAATAGTATGCAATATTTAATATAATAGATCGAGATAAGGTAGGAGAGGCCGTGCTGTATAGTGAATGAGTCACGGCTGCAAACCCTTCACTCATAATTCATTACATAAATAATAAACCGTATATTTTGCTGAAGTATGTAACTGTGTTGAGGCTATATTATTGATTGTTTATGTTGCTAAGGGTGTCGCGCACTGATACACAGAACCGTTGGGTGAAGCGCTCTTAGCCGTGCTTTATTGCAAACTAAACACAGCTGTTGGCCAATCAGAATCAAGGACTGGAACTAACCGTATTATAAAACAGTACAAAGCATCTCTAAGGCATATACTAGTGATTTCTCCATGTGAGGTCACGTGACGTTCTGCTGATGGAGGTCAGAGGATCTGGACCGAGCGCTGGTTCTGTCATCGTGACACCAAACCCTCGACACTGAATCCAGCCGCTCGGGTTTCGCTCTGCAGGGGACCATCAGCGGCTCTCAAACACAGTTAATTGGCCTATGAAATGAGCGCGCACACACACGGATGTGATACTGACCAGAAGGGGAAAATGATCAATCTCGTCCCGAAGAAGATCATACTGAACACCACAAACAAGAAGTCACATAAACGCTGGTATCTGGCGTAGTTTGCCAACTTTGCAGCCTGCAAGATAAAAAATGAAACAGAAAAATATTCATTAAAAATAAATCATGTTGCTTTGGGAAAAAATACACTAGGATAGAATTACTCGTTTACTCATTTAAACACAGTTTATTCATATAAATCATACAGAACTGAAAAAAATAAATAAAATACAGGTAATTTCTTGGGACTAAGTTTTTTTTTCTTGATTTCTAATGATAAATTCATCATACTAAATATGTTATAATAAATAAAAGTTATAATAAATATTAACTAAAAATATATAAAAATATAATTAAAAACTAAAACAAATGTTGCTAATTGAAATAAATGTCAACTTAAATAAAACATAAAAAAAATATAAAACTTATTTTATTTAGGAAAGTTGACAAGGCAACATTTGTCATTTTTGTTTAGTTTAAATTGAAGTATTAAACTGACTAAAGCAAAAACTGAAATTAAAATTAATGAATAAAAACTAAATAGATATATACAAGAACTAATAAAATAAAAATAAAAATGGACTAAAAGTATAACTAAAATTAAAATGACAACGGACAATTTGAAAATTCTAAATATTAATAAATACTATATTAGCATATTAATGATGCTAAAATAACGCTGCATCAACTGTCATTTAAATGCTAATAAAATAATATATATATATACACACACACACACACACACACATATATATATATATATATTATACATCACATTATAAATGTAATGTATAATATATATAAATATTACAATAATATTAACAAAATACAGGCAATTTTGAATATAAGTGTTTTTATAAATGCACTGAATAAAATATCAAAATACTAGTAATTTTAGGTGCAATTTTACATCCAAGTCTAGTTAAATGTTGATTTATAAAGCAATTATTCATGCATCATTGAGAAAAAAAAGGTCATGCGGGTAATTATGAGGTAACATAAAATGTCACATGGCCCCTCAGTTAAATGCTAGCTTATGAATATAAGATGACAGAAAAAGCACTGTTGCTTCGAACCGCAGGCACTCTTACCTCCAGCAGGAAGTCCGATGAGTCGTGAATACACATGACCAGACTCCCCACACGCAACATGTTATTTACATACGAGAAACTGATCAGGCTGACCGTCGCCAGATGATGAACGAACATGATGAGGAAATCCTGCAGAAATACACAAGAAATATGTATAGCAGCACGACATGAAAATATGATGCAAATTAAATACAAAAGCACAAACACAAGTCAGATTTGTAACTTTTCCTTTCAGCTCGACAGAAGCGGAGTTCTCCAGGTTGTTTCCACCGAGTCAAATAAAGAGGAACAATATCTCTCTGTTATGATTCACTCGCTGCAAGTTATTATACAAATCTCTCAGCTCATAATGGTCACCGCCGCGGGTCGTGTCTTAAACAAATAGCCGAGCCGCACCCTGAAGACGCTCGCCGGCGTTAATTGTCTTTACGAGTGGCTTTACGAGTGTCTTAACAGTGAGGCGTCAAGAGACTGACGGAAAAACAACAGACAGAAAAGCCATGTGCGTCTGACAGCTGCTGATTCAATCCCACGCTCTACTTGTGGTTTAAGGCCTTTTCCTTGTCTAACACGCCGACCTATTTTAAACTGTATCACATGACGGAGCTGCTGTCGAGAACAATGCTTTGTTAAATATGTAAAACAGCAGGAATTTGACCTCATAACAACTCCTTTGAATATGTCTGATGTGGCGGGAAGTTGAGAAGTGAGAGAGAAGTGAATTAAATAATGGATCAAAACACAATAGGAATGAACAGTTGCCGTTTGATCCATCAACGCTCACCTTTCTTTTGATGTCTGTGAACTGTGAGAACATGAGCGACCAGTAGAAGGCCAGTTCTGTTATATAATAATAATACAGGCCTGAGGTCAGCACCTGCAGGACACACACACACACACACACACACACACACAGATTATAGAGCAGATACTACATCTGAGCAAACTGTCAATATGCCAGGTGATAAATAAAAAAATCAATTCATTAAATTAAATACACAATAAAATACAAAATAATAAAAAAAATTGCATAAAAAAAAATTAAAAAGTTAAAGCAATTGTATGATCATTGAGATTTTTTTGTAAAGTGAAATTTTATTCAAGACAGTGCAGTTACTCCATAAATTCTCATTATTATAAAATTAAATACAGAACAAAAATAAATAAATTAAAAACAAATGAATGAAATCAAGTAAAAAATTAAATGATTGTTTTTTAAAAATGTGCATAATTCAATGTATAGCGCTTTTCACGATACAAATCGTTGCAAAGCAACTTTACAGCAAATTAAGTTTCTACAATATTTAGTGGTAGCTTATCAAAATGAAAAAAGTAAAAGCAATAGTAGGATCACTGTGATTTTTTTAATGTGAAATTTTACTCATGACAGTGCACTTACTCCCTAAATCCTCATTATAAAAAATAAATAGAATAAAATGCATGAAGTGACAGCAATTTTACGATCTTTAAAATTTTGGTTTTGCAATGTGAAATTTATTTAATGACAACTAAGCACATTTACCCCCTAAATCCTTATTATTATTATTATAAATTTAATCAAATATATTTTTGCATTCTCCTTTGTGATTATCATTAAAGTTTTATTTAATTACTATCATACAGCAATGCAATAATTTATATACTAATTATTTCATTTTAAGATGATATCATTTATATTTGCAAAAATTCGACAATGACAAATACTACCACGTAGGGTTGGGTACCGAAACCCGGTATCAATATGGCACCGGTACCCATGTAAACGGTATGTACTAGAACCGAATCCGAACGCAGATTTCGGTGCCATGCCTGAGCGATCGATTGAAGTATTTGTCCTCTGGTTCTCCGAAACGGACGTAAGAAGCATCACTGGCACCGCATGTGAAAAATTATTTCCTGACTGAGAAAATGCACGTGAACTCAAGTCGGAAAGCTCTAATAATACAAATCCAACACATCTTTGGAGTAACGTGAGTGTCCATGTTGTTTCCACATTCCGACTTAAAAGCACAACTCTGGAAATGAGAGCATCCGAGGAGCGCGTGAATGCAGTAATTACACTTGCTCTGATGGCAGCAGGTAGCCTTCCGTTAACTAGGCTAAACATGCTTAAATTAAAATGCCTAAAGCTAAACCTCCCTTGTATTCACATTTCTAAACCTGTTGTCCAACAAAAGAGAACATTATAACCTTTTTACTCCACAACACCAGTCAAATGCTTCCTTTTGTGATCTGATGTGGCTTCTTGTCACAGAATGAGGCAGAAAATAT